GCAATATATATTTATATATATATTATATATATTTATATATATATTATATATATTTATATATATATATATATATTTTATATATATTCATACATATATTTATGATTTGTGAGAGCCTGAGATTGAAAGTAGTCGTTGTGTTTACCTTCACTCAGAAAAAAAAGACTTTCTTAAAGATTCAAACTTTAATGAGATTTTAACTAAATCTCAGGCAAAATACTTTTACCCGACGCCTTATGTTGGTTCAACCATTCCAGATTTTGGTGTTCATAACTTCTTTACCACATGAGCTAAAATTTTTCTAACAAAAGGATTAGATCAATCTAACTATAGGTATAGTATGTGTTTAGAGTATATTTTTCTGAGTGTTCTGATTCAACTCATTGAATAACCAATGTATGAAAGTAACAATACTTTTACATAATAGCATTATGAAAATAATATGAATTAAACGTATCCAGTTATTTGGAATTGCTAGCGTTCATATATTATATAACTCCAAAGAAATCAATAAAAAATATTCAGAAGAATCACTAACGAGTAATCACTTTTTACTAGAAAAAAAAGCATCTAATGCAATCTAGATACGCCTTCAATTGAAGCTGAGCTTAATTGCGTTGCTCTTATGTCAGAAGCCTCTTGTTAAAAGGTGGTAATTACAACCTCGTATTATTCAATGGCTATACAAGGCTGTCATTAGATCAATAGTTTTGTATGACATCATTGATGGTTGTCGGTCCTCGACAAATCTTCGTACTGTACTGTACTTAACAGAGCTGAACTCTGCATAAGTGGTGTTCTGTGAACCACACCATCTATAGCGTTAGATCTAATGTTTCACTTAATGCCTAATGCTTCATACTTAACACAAAAGTATAATTTAGTCTGTTGTTTCAACCTTAATATAATAAAGACTTAGTATAAATAATTATTTTAACTTAAATCTAAATAACTGCAGCTTCGTGTAACAGCTCTTCTTCGAACCCGATCTTCAAACGTTCATTTAACCAAATTTAATTGTTTAAAATGAATTCTGAGTATAAAATATATGATCTGTTTTCAGTTAGAAATCTTTAATAACTATTATAGTTACCATTACGAATATATAGAATTGTTTGTTGTTGGTGTTGTAATGACTGTAATATAATATTCGTCTAAATATCTCAATAAATGCATACATTTTTTGTGAGTAAGCAAACATTGAAGTTAACTGAAAAATAAATTATTTTTTATTAATTTAATATTCATAAAAAACTTTTTTAATTTATTACTTTTTAATCTTAAAAACAATAAAAAATTTATTATTATATTTATTTATTTATCTTTATATAAAAGAATAAAATTTATTTATTTATCTTTATATAAAAGAAAAAAAAAATTGGGAAAGCGATTCTTCGTATTATAATTTTTAATAAAATATAAATAATATAACTGAAATACCCTTAATAATGTTAATATTACTAACTGCTTATACCAAAAGGATTCGCAAAAAATAAGTTACGTTACCTAAAAATTGTATGACTGTAATATATATATAAATTGCAATTTTCTATCCTTCTTAAAATAGTAGTATTATACTTTTCTCATAAAAAATTTTCTTCTTTTCTATCAATAAATTTACAGTTTATGTTGAATTCATACTCGTATCTTCAACAAATTTTAATTCAGATCATTTCTAAAATAAATATATAAATATAATAGATAGCGATAGAATTTGATTACTTAGAGGAAATGTTTTGATGTATTTTTATTATTATAAAATAATATATGGTTTTAAAAGCTTTTCAGACGCCATAAGGAGAAAGTAAAAATAATGTGTATTAATAATTATTATTTGATATTATGAAGAAAAAAAATATTTAGTTAAAAGTGTTGAAATAAAGGCAATAAACTTTATAGCTGACAATATGTTAGTCGAATGGCAGAAGAAAGTCATAAACTTATTGACAACCTCTTGCCAATTACTTACGAGTATATTTTTATTGGATAAATAATCGTATAAATACTCTAAGGTGTGAAAATTGCTATTAAAATAAAATTTGAAAATATTTGTTTTAGCAAAAGTGACGTATATTCACCTAAAACTTGTCATCACAATAATAACACATCATCAAATAACTCTTTGATGAAGGAACTTCAAGAAAAATCAAAGAAAAGAAACATTATATTCCTGATTTGTAGAGTCATAACATTTTAATGAACTTGATAATGACTTATTTATTTTAAACCAGAATTGATGATTTCGATAAAAATAGAATTTTTGTTTTACTATATTATTACTATGTATGTAAAATAATAAAATAAAAATGAATGAATGTTAGCAATCAACACATTTTTATATTTTTATGGATAAAAATACAATTTATATACATTATTTTGTGGTTTTTTGAACAGTAGTGAATTAAAACAACAAAATTTTTATTATTTTAATTTAATTGCATTTTTGGCTGATCATACAGCTATTTCGAGTATTGCCACAATTATTATCAGTGGTATTAGAATTATTTCTTACATTTAATTATTCGTAAATAGTCTTTGATAACTACAAGTAACAAGAGTTACACTCTTACCCTGCCAAATTCGAAGCTCAGAGTCAGTGGTCATTAACCAACTGATCCAAAGACGTACTTGATTTGTTTTTCAAACTTGAAGATATGTTAATTTGCTGTAAAAGTTTATTAACAAATTCACTTGCTGCGTTATATTAGGATAAAAATATAAACAAGCTGTAGAATAATTAAATTGATTAAATATATTTATTTTTAATTTTTTAGTTTCAATACTATTCTTTTTATAGAAGCATTATTTTTTGCATGATTTTATTTTATTTTTTTTTTTTTGTATATAGAACCTAAGCCAGGACATTCGTGCTAATGTTATTCTATGATTTATTCAGGCGATAATTAGCAATATTTTTTTTCATTTTCTTTTATTATAATTCTATATTTAAAATAAAAATAATAAAATTATAATAAAATATATAATAAAAATTTTTTGGTGTAATTTGTTACTTACTTAGTTACTCATTACATACATGAGTCGCTCTTTGCCGCGTCGAGTAGCCTCTGCCAACCAGTCCACATCAGTGGCGTGCTGTTGTCAATTGATAGTACTGGTCGCTTCCAAATAGTCACCTAGTTCCTACGCCGAAAATGCTATCGTTTTCTACCTGGGGATGCTAAATCAAACACTTCTCTAGTCGGACCACTACTTCATTAAGATAATAGTTTCTATTGAGTAAATAGCTACTTTCATTATAGCTGACGGTAAAAATCAAACAATCTAATATAAATTATTTTGTATAACGTATTATTATTATTGTTAGGGGATGTGGTTTAGAGTAGGTCTCTAAGCCCTTTTGCGTCAATAAAAAGTAGTATGGAACCTATTTTACAGAGTTTTCTTGCCTCTTCCGTAAGAATATACATTCCCAGAACACTATTCCGTAGGTACATTAGCGCAGGGCATTCTAACAGCACATGTGCGACCGACAAATCATTCTCTTCACAGAATCTACAGTTTGCGTTCGTATGCATAACCAGTCTCGTAAGATGGTATTTTAGTTCACACTGCCCTGTTGGGATTCCTGTGATGATTCTAAGTTCTAAGTTGTTCTTTTGATAGGTTCATATAATCCTGGTATCTCTTAATGTTATAGGTACCAATAAGTGATTTAGATTATGTTAATCCCAGCAATCTTTTTCATATGCTTCTTCTTTATTTTTCTGAGAGAAAAGAGCGTACTATGTCCTAGTCCACAAAAAGGTTCCGGCTCCATCATCGGTGTGGCTGCTTCTTTCCTGGCTTGCTTGTTCGCGTATACGTTCCAGCGTACACCGGTATGTCCCAGTACCCAAAGAATCGGCACCTGATATGATTCGCCAAGGCGATTTAGCTTATCAAGGCAGTCTTTCACCAGTCTTGAAATCACCTGATGCGAATTTATTCTGTCAGTATTGGTAATACCGTTCAATATTGATGAGTAAGCACTTTAAAACTGCGAAAATTTCTGCTTGGAAGACGCTAGTATTTTTTTTCAATGCTTCCCAATACTTCAATCATATATTATTATTGCCATAAGTAGTACTTATTATTCATGAATAGAATAGATTTTATTTAATAAAATGAAGTTTAAAAAAAAAAAAAAAAATACTTCTTGCCTGGTCCGACTGTGACCGCTTCGACACCTTCCTTCGTAAGCGAGCCGTCAGTGAACCATGCGATTGTGCTGTGTGCTAGCTGGTAGGTTTGATTAATACCCTCCCAGTTTCTTTTGTTACTTAGTTCAGTTTTAAAAAACTTAATAATTTATATAACGTAAATTAAAATATAAATTATTTTATACAATTTACATATATAATTTACATATAGAGGGATTGCAAAATTATATATGTTTAAAATGTTATCCCAATTTTCGAATTTGTATAATTTGCATTAAAGATTATTTTTATTTATTTTCATTAACAGATCACGTAAATTGCTACTCAGGCTTTAATGAGGGCAACTTTTGTAGCAAAAAGGATCAAACTAAAACCGAGACCAGATGGTATTATGACAAAGGCGCCTGCAGAAAGTTTGTCTACAAAGGCTGTAATGGCAACCGAAATCGTTTCTGCACCAGAGACGCGTGCGAAAGACGTTGTGTTGGCGAATAATTTAATTACTTTTATATAAAAATAAATAAATAAGTGAAGAGACACATTCATATGTATTATTAAAAAATTTTAAAACAACATTAACATGTATTGGAACGTGCTTTACAAAACTTTTTGATAATTAAAGAAAAATGTTTAAAATGCAAAAGTCAATGGTTCATTAAGCACCCATCATTGCTTTAATTTAGCTATAAAGAAATAAAGAAATTTTATAAGAGAAATAATTATTTATAATAAAATTAAACGATATATAAATAGACATACTTTAAATGCTTTTATCTTTCGATATATTTAGGAATGTGTAGGAATGTGGGTCTAAAAATACAAGTACGACTCATTGCCAATATCTTCAAATAGTAGCGACAAAAGTACAACAACAGTAACAAATGCGAGTAGTTTAGCACTAATAGCAATCATGTCAGCGAGAAGACAGACCAAAAAAAGCACATGTGGTGCACGTCCTGAACGCGTCACTTGGACACGTCAGTTGACAAAGATTTTAATAAATTTTATGCCCCAATATGCCAAATGTCACAGTGACAGTCTTTGATGAATTTTATTTCATTTTATATTTATTGCGTACGAGGGCTTTTAAATAAATTAAAAAAATGTAATTTGGATATGTATTATTAATCTTCACAATAGGAAAGTTTTGAATGAAAAATAAAAATAATTAAAAAATAAAAATAAATACTAATTAAAAAATTTTAATTTACTAATTTTAAAAAATGTAATAAATTAATTAACTAAATTAATTGGCAAAGAAATATACGTTACATATAAGGAATATATGCACATGACATAAAAACTATTTCTGAATAAATTAACTTTTTTAAGGAATATATATAAACAATAACATTGTTCTATATATTATTTGTTTAACTTTTGTTACTCTAAAAGCAGTTTTAAATATATATTAAATAGTATAGCACTTGACATAGTTTTATTTAGGGCCATATGTGCCATATATACTTTATATATAATATAGTACTATAGTACTCGATTTACTTTTGTTACTCTAAAACGGTTTTAAATGAATTTTAAAACATTAAAAAATTTTTATTTAAATTCCTATTAGGTTTATATTACTAAAACTTAACACATAAAATTTTAAAATGGTTTTTTAAATAAAAATCACACTTATAAATTGTGTTATATTGTGTTATATATTTAATTGTATATTAAATTTTGTAAAAAATTATTTCTAATACAGATATTTCGGTCTACTTCGTGGACTAACTCAGATAATTTTTGCAGCAAACATTTTTAGTGAAAAGATTCTGAGATTGAAAAAAGTAGATCTTGACCAAAATGAAAGGCAAGGTTCATCACCTGCAGCAGTAGCGGGGCCTGGACGCAGGACACACCAATGGAAGTTTTAAATGACTAATAGGGATTCTACCTCGAAGTAATACTAACGTAGTCCCGGGGCAGGACAAGATCTCTAGGAGTAAGGTGGTTTAGTCCGCGCGAGTCGGGCACTAACTTTCCGAGGCGGCAGATTGTGGTCAGTGCGTAGACATTCCACTTCTCCTTGCCACAAAAAAAAAAAAACTTTGTGGACCATCTTCAGTGTACAATTAACGACCTACGCCTATTAATAATAAGTACTTGACGAATAAGTACTTGATTTGCTCTTGTTACTCTAAAAGAGTTTAAGATAAATTTTAAAAAAAATTAATATTTTAAAACTTTCTCTATATGTTTCTCTCTATAGTACTTAATTCACCCTTTTTATTTTCAAACAGTTTTTAATAAATTTTAAAAAATTAATAAATTACAAATTTCTCTATATGTTTCTCTATATGTATTAGTTTATTAAGTTTTGTTACTCTAACCAGTTTTAAGTAAATACTAAAAAATTTAAATTTTTCAAAATTATAGCCAAATATATCTTTTTAACATGTTAAGATCTAAAATATAAAAACTATTTTTTTTTAAATCTATTCAGCATTTCGAATAGCCAACAAACTCCGCTAAGTAATTTTTTAAAAGTCTAAAACAATATATCGAATATCACTTTTGGCAAAAGACTACATTAATTAATGATTTTAATCTGTTAATAATAGGAATATATGAACATGTGCCTTCAGTGATTGAAAGGGGTTTCTATTTTTAAATTTCGTATACTTTTTTGGACGTATTTAGACAGCACTTAGCCTCAGACAAAGAATATTACATATATTTTAAATATATTAAATAATATCTTTTACTACTAATTGGATACTAACCAAGTCACTGTAACCAAGTCATCATTTTACTTATCATTTTTACAATACATTAAAATATCAATTACTGATGATTGTTTATCATAGTGATGCATTAATTGTTTAGTTTATTTTTTATTTAAATTTTAAAACTAAAATGATGAATGTGAATGTTGTAAAATAAAATTAAAAAATAAAAAAATGACACAAATATGTTAAATATTTTTTAAATTTAGTAGCCGTACACGTGTTGCTGGCAGTAATACGTTTTTGACGTACCCATTAATTTGAAAACATATATTTATAATTAATGTTTTTTTTAATCACATACTAGCAATAGCAAATTAGTTTATAATTTTGCATGCCAATTTTCCAATTTTTGCAAAATATGTTCTCGTACTTAAAAATTGAATTTGGCAAAATCTATTTCGGTTGTTTGACATTCAATGACGTTTCTCTTGTCATATTGAGACTTTGTCTATTCATATTGAAATGTACATTAACAGTTTATATATGAAGATATATATATATATATTTATCTGTATATATACCTGCATGCATATGAATTTATTTAAAGAAAATTGTTACTTAAATATGTATAGATATATAGACAATTTGTGTTAATATGTGTGCATATTTTATATAGATAGTCATAAATTAAGGAGATTCAGATTTAATATGAAACGCAAAATCTGTCATGAATTGCAATTTTAAATATATAAATACGTATGGGTATATACATATGTACATACATATTACATATATATACTTATATATTTTGAAATTATTTCAAATTACGCCTATGACGCTTTTTGGAACAAAGGATATTATTATTTTAGTAATTCTGCAATGAAATAATGTATATATATATAGTTATATATACGTTACAAAAAAAAATATATATACTTTTGATCAGTATGTAGTACATATAGCTAGTTTTTATATCAACAAAATAAATCGTAATAAAGATATTATTTTAGTATATATAAAAAGATCTATTGAAATGGTCTTTTAAATAAACTGTATAAATATATATAAAATAGAGTTACTGATCCTGGCATCTACAGCTCCCTTCTTAATAGTAATTCAACCATTAATCGCTTATTATCATTATAAATGAACGAAAATAAATGCAAGAAATTAGAGGATACCCGATTTGATAAATTATACTTAAAAATACATCGTCCTTTGAAGTTTAGTTGAAAGCGAACAAAATATTAAAAATTAACTGCAATTTTTTGTGGTAAATTAACAAAAAAGTCTTACTTAATCTAGGCAGCCATTGCTTAATTTTTGAAGTACTATATCCCCTTAACAATAATAATACAGCGCAATTGTATGAACAAAAATTATCACTTGTGTTAGCAATGAAAGTTTCGGAGAATATGGATTTTGCAATTGTTAATTAAATAGTCCTGCAAAGCTTTTAGTTGGATTTGGACAAACTTCCTAAATCAGAAAAGTTTTGAAAGACATTTCAGTTAAGTTTTGCTATTTTATTTGTGGAAATTAAATGCAAATTATCCGTCATCTGACAATTGCCAAGTGACTATTAATAACACACCATAGTGTCATTTTATACTATTTCGAATGCTAATTGTAAGCTATTTAGACCTTCGGTATCAGGAGAATTACACAATCTTTTAAGAAGATTTATATTTGGAGGTGTTTATATTTAGTTCATATCTGTTTAACTTTTGGTGGATTAATGGTGATAGTCTATCATCCAACAATTGCCAACTGCTTATTGATAACACAGAGAAGTATCATTTTAAACTATTTCGTAAGGTAGTCATCGGTGATTTGGAAACTCTTGTTCATAGAATTTCATCGTTTTATATTGTCAATAATATACTTCAGCTTAGGTTTTAGTATCTATTTTGCTTATATTTTATTCATCTTCCCACAACAAATTCATACAGATTTTTTTTCTATTGATTAATTGTTACAGAGTCCTTAGTTTTTTAAAGCAATTATCTGGCATTAAGTCTTATCACCACGGTTCTCTTAACACATATATCAGTATAATGCACCGATAAACAACCCCATCGGATAAAATTCTGTCGATAGCAATCAAATTGAAGTCCACCTAACACCTGCGCTGTTCTTTGGGTCACAACACCCAGTTGGAGAATGCAATTCCAGATCGAATGAAAGTAATGTTAACTTTCATAACATTACAACTTTAACTACAGTCACTACGACACTTCCATTAAACGGATCATGCAGCTGAACATGTGAGCCATGATCCCCGTGATATCACTTTTACTTTTCCAGTCAAGTGCCGCAAATGACATTCATTCACTATCATTTACACTTCAAATAGTATCGTGTGATGTCTATTGTATTTAAGTTGCTTCTTTCGACAAGGCTGCCACACCTCAGGAATAGTCTAATTTTCTAAAATATTATATGGGTTTTCATATTTTGATTTTGGTGAGTGTATTTATTTATTAATGTATATTTTAGACACGGTTCAATATCGCTTTTGGATATTTTAAGGTATTAATATTTTTTTTTATAATATATATATATTGTATTTGAATTCATTAGATATGTTAGATTCGTCTCACTAATTACTGGACATAGCAACTTCAAGTATCACCTCAAAAAGATAACTCATGCTGAGGAAGACACTTGCAGACTATGTCTAGAAGAAAAGAAGACAGCGGTGCATATATTGTGCCAATGTCCAGCACTGGCAAGTAGGAGGAAGACTGTCTTGGGACACCATTGGGTTGTTGACGACTTGGCAGGAAACCTCAAGCTAAATGAGCTGCTTGCATTAACAAAAGATGTAGTTATGCGAACGGAAGCCACTCCAGCTTTAACTCAATAACAACATCCGAGAATCGAAGGAAGAAAAAGGACCCAAGTCGTTTCGTGGTCTACTTCGACTAATCCTTCACTTCAGTGGGGCCACTTGTTGGACAAAGCGCTGTCCCAATGTCCCACCATATATATATATTCGTCTCTAAGGAATTCGAAAATATTATTTATTTATCAACATAAAGAATAGATACTGAAGT